ATTTGAGATTTTTTAGGACAAAGTATTGATCAGATATCAAACATTTTCCAAAGAATATAATAATAAAATAATAATAATAAGTCAAATGCATATGCATATGCACAAAATGACTTTCAAAATGTAATGCCAAATTGTAGGGTAAGTCAAATTGTAAAGAGCTTAACTGAAACGATTCCTTTTCGTACCAATTTATCCAGTACTGAAAAATTTGCTAGTTCAGATATCTGCTTTCTAATATCGGTTCAGCCGATATCCTTAGTTGGACATAAACATTGATGTATTAAAACTATTTAATGGTCGTAGTTGGCCCAAAAAGTCTCATAATGTTTGGATTTTTATTTATACAAAACTGTTCTGTAGTTACTTGAAAGATAAAAAAAAATAAAATAAAAAAAATCTGGTATCTGAATTTGTATTGGAACTGAAAAGCTGGATCAGTGCCTCCTTACCCTTAATAATAATAATTACTACACCTCGCCTTAAAGCATGAAAACTAACTCACAATGATTATTGTCTTATTAAGAAAATTATTAAGAATGAGTCAAGCTTAATAACTACTCAATTAATACCTTAATACCAAGCTTGAATCTTTCTTAATAAACTACTCAGTATGATTTAAGTCTTTCTTCGTGCTTTATGAAGGGTGTACTTATTGTAATTCCTTTGCACAAGTCTGTACAAAACCTTCGCAAACATCTGTTGCACAGAGCCTAAAATCACACCTGGAGTTTCATCTTAGCGATAGGGTTAATGCTACCAAAGTTTGCCTTACTGGCCCACTGCACAATTGGATTTACAGTTGGATTAAAAACAGATGTGTATTAAGCAAAGGGACAGCAGTAGGTGGTGAATAAAACAAATAAACAAATATGTGCTCGCTCTGTGATGCTTCGGGACCTAAGGAGTATGAAAGTTCACCCTATACCTCTGCTTAAATATCCCTTTGCTCCCCCAACCTGCCTGTCTTCTCCTCCTTTCCCCCAGTTCCTTATTCCCCCTCTCCTCTCCCATTTCTATCTCTCCGTCTGTGCTTTTTATACCCGCTCTTTATCTCTCCGGATAAAGCTCTCCCCGCTGCCGCCGAGTTTGTTTTTCCGGCCGCTCTAGCTTTATCTTGCGCCGGGATGCCGTGTATGTGCAGTGGCATAGAGGCACCGCAGCAGCATCCCTGTGTCAGGCCAAAGATGGATTAGAATACTAAAATAGTGAGGAGAGAAAAGTGCAGACATTCAAATCTGACATAGCTCATGCGTGTGTGTTTACGCGCACGGTAATAGAACAATAAAAGGAGTTGCGTCGCTCTCTCACTCTTCTAGCACGCTCTCTCTAGCTCTCTCTTGATTTAACGCATGGCTTCTCTGCTTGTTTATTTCACTACATATTAATGTAAATCAGCGCTGTCCACTCCCCTCTCTCACTTTCTCTCTCTGAGCTGTCTCCTCTCCTGTCCCGCACTGACGTCCTGCCACCCGCGCGTCGGCCCCTGCGACGCAAAAAGCCCCGACAACAATTAAAAAGGAACAAGAGCGCCCGGTCGCCACGCACCCCCCCCCCCACCCCCGGCCACGTCAATCAGACCCCCGGCCTCCCCTGCTGCTCTCAATTAACCCCCGCTACTACAGCTACAGGGCGACCCGGCTCTTTCTAATCTATGTAGAGCACAGCACCGTGGACCAAGGGCACAGGCAGAAGGAGAAGTGCGCCCGTGCAGTAATTCACTCAACCCTATATTCTGAACAGGGCATCACCTGGACTTATTTTGAGGAAGGTATATGAATGTAGAAGTGGTATAATTTTCATTCAAGGACATGGGAGGCACTGTGTCTGCTAAAGGACAGTATATGGAGCTTGCTACTCTGTACGTTTACAATAACGAAGTTGGACTTTGATCATACATATTTGACTATTGACTTTGCAAGAACTGTAACAAACTTTGCACGTTTAAGAAATGAACAGTTTGTAAAGGTTAAATAAAATGCTCTTCCAGTCCGAACGTTCACTTGCTTATCAGTTAAATGCAAATAGAGATTATGACTAGGGGGGTCCCAGTGGCTTGATAAATGCTAAACTACATTAGAATTTTGGGAAGGAGAAAAAACACAAAAAATGGTTCTGCTTTTAACTGAGTAAGACACAGCATAACAAGAACTGAAACAATGCCACACAAAAAATGGTGTAAAACTTGCATAAAGGAACAGAGAGGGTAGTTTAAACCTTTATCTAGAGGTCTTATCATCTAATCTTTGTTTACTCCTCAAGCCGCTTCAAATCATCTATGTGACATTTCAAAAAACAGTGATAAAACTGAATGTCACCATTTTAGCCCATGTACTAACACCATAAAATTCTAGCAAGGAAAGTTTAATGCCTTACTGTGGAACATTCAAGGTCTTGGCAAAGGAATACTATCTCAATGCAGATATTATCTGTATCAAAATAAATATGGCTGTTTATGAGGGGGAAAAGGTTAAAAAAAATCACAAGAGACTGACAAACAAAATCAATGAGTGAAACACTAAACTCAGTTAAGGTGGTAAGATAGTTGATTTTGTTTATAAATGATAAGTGACTAATGAGCTCCTTCATTACCCATGTGTCACTGAAAAAATAGAATCAGATTGCATGGTCATGTTTGGTTCTGACTCAAGATGTGACAGAGAGCGTGGGGACAAAAACTGATATTCCTCTGTATAAAAAATACAGACATCATTCTGGATTTGCATGGCAAACATTGTGCTATTTCTTAAATGTATCAGAACTTTCACTTGGAAGCTAAAGTCATCTCTAGATGTTAGTGTGGAAAATTGCTAAATTAAATTGCTGAAAAAAATGATACAATTTGTGATTTGACCAGAGGACTTTGTTTTCATATATTATGATGTAACTTAAATGTCTAGTTTGCTTGCCACTTGTTGACATACATACTTTTGTCTTCAGATTTAGGACAATAGTAATGTCTAAAAAAAACAAAACAAAAAACATAACTTCACCTAACCCCATTTAGTATCATCACTGACCTCAAACTAAAGAGACTTTGATCCCACTGCCACCCACCACATGTCTGATTAGATGATTACCCTAAGCACTAATGAATGTGAAAAACAGAGCCACGCACAACATTGTATTTAAGTAATTCTGGATGTTAACTCCAACCTCCCCCTATGCCCACCCTCCACTCTCGGCTCGCCCTTAATAAAAGCACAACGGTGTAGCATGCAATTACAATGAAGGCCAGTGCTCCATTATAATCAGTATCCCGTGTTGGATGGTTGCGGCTGATTGCTGTTTATGACTTCTTATACTTATTGTAACGGGAGGCGGTGAGTTTGCGCATGTTAAGTGTCTGAGGTGCAGCTTCACTCTTATCTGTATCTTATCGCCTGGCTCTGATTGACAGGGCTTTTGTGTAAGCGGAGAGTGCACATAGAGACTTCTTTACATTGTGTACAAGTGTGTTTTCCTTGGTATAGGAAGAGGATGCGCTCAGGGGAATGCTGAGGTTAAAGTACACCGCAGACCTGGTTCTATCTCCTGCCGTATCCTTTTGTAGATAGTTTTCTTGTCTCTACAAAGAAAGCCACCTTTACCCCTGCCCTTATCTCCGTTCTATCCTCCTCTCTCCCTTCATTCTTTCTGTGCTTCTTCAGGCCTGGTATTAAAGCTGGTCTTGACTGATCGATCACATAAGGCCAGAGTTAATGTCAACTGTGAATAGATTTGTCGTACTTTAAATCTGTTTTGATCTGATCACCTCCTCATTGAGATGATCTTAATAGTGTTCTATTATGCAATCCAGATTAAATGGAGGGGCAAGCCTTCTACCACCTCATGATTTTTCAGGCTACTTCTGGACAGTTGTTGTTAATATACATTTTATAATCATTCAGATTCTATTAATTGCAGACACATTTCTTTTTACAGTTAAATTGTCTCATTGAAGTTATTTTTTTTTTTAAAAGCATGATTAAAGCTTAACAAGACAATGTATAGAAGTAAGCGCAGGGCAGGAAAAGTGACATTTTCTGAGCAACCAAGCCTCACATGCAGGACAAATACTGAAGCAAAAAAAAAAATACAGCTCTAATTAAGCTAAGATGAGATATTTTCACAACATGTTTACTTTAAAGGTCCCTAATTTTTGTCCTAACTCTTCTTAATTCTCCCCATCCCTGTTGCCTGCTCCTCACCATCTCCGCCCACTCCTCTTCCTCCTGCCCCTTATCCCAATGGCACCCCCGCAGATGGAAGTTAATTTTACACCTACCCTGGAAAATGGGAAAACAAAAGCGATTGGAATGGGGGAGAATGTGTCAGCAAAAGATTTATAAGACATAGAAAATCAAGAGCGCAATTCAGTGTGCTATGTTTTTGCTCCAGGGTTGTTGCTATAGTGCACTATTTCTATCACTGCCTCGTACCCCTCCCCTCCCCCAAATACGCACCACCCCCCAGGAGCCTGTCAGATGATAAAGAGATGTTGTCAGGGACTGATTATCAGCCTCCCAAAGTAAAAACAAGTAAAACATCAAACGCACAAAGACCACACAGGGACTTGGCCTTATTTTTTGTGCGCTAAATTTCTCTCCTCCATACATCTGTCTCGCGTTCTTTTCATTGGCGTGTCATGAGCGCTCTGTTTTTCGCTGCTGGGGAGCTATTTGATTTGTTTTGCCGTTTAAGAGCTCGTATTGTTTCTGCCGTGTTGTTTTTATGTCGGTTTTATTCATATGGATGCCCGTGGCAGCGTCAGGTCCGGGCCAAAGTCGTGGGGAGAGGCCATAGAGCAATAAAGAGAGAATGGGAAATGCAAAACACGGAAGAAGTATAAAAAAGGATACTATATTTTCTTCCCTCTTTCTGTTTGCACCAACACGTCATACATTCGTTAGACATCAATGGTAGTGTGGTACGTACTTTATCATTGACCATAGCCATGATTCAGACAGATAAAACAGACAGCAGTTCTGTATAAGAGTATTGTCAGGTGACCCACAGGCAAACAAATCATCAGCTCTCAAACACAACATGGTCTGACTGCAGCTGGTGGAGGTATTTCAGTATTTAACACTTTTCCACAGGCAAAACCTTCAAAGACCCTTTTATTGATTTATTTTTAATTTATAACAGTTTTCACATTTTGGCTTTGCAAAGGTGGTGGCACATAAAATACTATAATTAAAGTGCTTTTAGCCTAATCTAATCTACCAACATATAGTCACAAATTCTAAACTATCTTAACCAAAACTCTCTCAAACATCTCAGGTAAAAACATCTACAGCTTTAGACTCATGAAAACATACTATGTACACAAATATAAACAAAATAGGCACAGCCATAATTAGGAACATATTTTACAAAATGTAAAACAGATCACTAACAAATCACTGAATTCTGTTAAAAGCGTTTGCAAATCTTCAGATAATTTGGTTTTGCGCTACGAATCCCTCATCAGATTTGTAGTCTTTTTAGGCAAAGAGTAAGTATCAGCAATGACAGTTCTGTTTAATTGTTATTTTAAAAAAATCTCTTCTAATTTATAAGATATATAGATCATTTTACATAAAAAAAAAAATAAAACTCCTAAGCTTGCTTACATATCAAATCCATAAATACTGTATCTGTTAAATATAATGCACATGTATGAAATGATTTCACTAGTTGGCTCTTCTGTGTAAAATGTGATATTAATTAACCGCCTGAAGAAGCCTCTAATACCAAAGCCTTGGACGAGCACAGTACCCGAGCTACATTTCTCGACCTGTCAAAGCAGTGCCGCATTCTCAAAGCTCATTGGTTGTTAGCAGCTTTATGCAACTGCTAATTGTCATCGGACTGGAACACCCCCTGCAGGTGCAATCAGACCAAATGATAAAAAGTGCCACATAAAAGAAGCAGGAAAAAGCCAGGACAGTTGGGAGGAACAGGAAAGGAGGAGGGGGAGGGGGCTACTGACAAGAACGTGAAGTCCATTCCTTCACTATAGATTTCATTTCATCATACACCGAGAAGTCCAGTGTTTGGCAGGTCCCAGTATGTCAGTGTGTGTGTATGTGTGTGCGTGTGTCTTCGCCGTATCCTCCACACGTCTACCCCCAGCTGAGCGACGCAGATATCAGCAGCAGCAACAGGAGAATGGGGACGGGTGGGGTGGAGACGGGTGACGCAGCCCCTCCAGTCCCAGAGGAGCCCAGGTTGGAGATGGTGGCCCGTTCCGAGTACATGGGAATGACGTTGAACTGCCCGCCTTCATCCACGTCTTCATTGGGATGTCTCAGGTCCTCCTCCTCCTCGCTTTCAACCACAACCTGAAAGAGAGTGCAGCGACATAGTTAGAGAAAGCTAAATGAAAGCGATTACTGACAGGAATTTTAAACAGAATTTCAAATTGAGCCGTTCCATCCCAATCTGGTTGGAGGGCAGACGTTTAAAACAATCTGATAGCTGATATTTTGAAAACGCCGCCTTGGAGTGCCTGAGATTGAAATGGTGGAATCAATTAAACATGTGCCCCGCAGTCGGTAAATGACTTTCTGTTTGAAAACACTTAAACTGCTTTATGCATCCGCAGCTGAGAAATAGGGCTCATAATTCCAGAGCATTACCAACCTGCAAACATCTTCCAGAGGATTATCATGTTTCAGCAGCAAAAAATTTAACAAAAATGTTTTTTAGTGTTTAGTCTAGCAGTGTTTAGATGACCCAAGTTGTTTTTTATTTCAACAGTTTACAAAATCTTAATTAACATGGACTTGATTTGACCCCTCTGTTTTTTTAGTACTAACAGAAGTAAATCTGTTGCTATAATTACTCCAAGAACAATAACCAAGGTGTCCTTCTTGGTGGCCTTTACTCTTTGATAGTTTTTAGCATTTTAGGCTATGTCCATATGGAACTGGAACCTTGAAAAAGAGGTAATTCTAAATAATACAGCTGTTAATCCAGTTCCCCTACAAATTATTTGAAAATGGTTCAAATTTACTTTAGTCCAGTTAGTTAGTTGATTAAAAAATGTTGCTTTAAACACATTTTTGCAAACAGGTCCAGCAGAGTTATGGCATAATTAAAGGCAAGAAATAGTGTAATAAGACAAAAAAGCCATGTGTCCATGTTTCCAGGTCACATACCGAGGGGTTTTGTTTAATCATATTGTAAGAGCAGTCCTGTTTCCCTGAGCAATTACCACTTATCTTGCTCGTTTTATCTAGGCATGTCACAATAAATACTATATACTGTTGAGTGTATGAAAGCTGGAAAAATATTTTTGGGAGGTCAGTATTTATCGTGTGTACTTACTTTTTACTAGAGGGAGATGTTTGCTTATTTTTTGGTAATATGATCAAATTGATGCTGTAAAAGGTTGAAATAATCACTTCTATTACTCATTACAGATGCGACCTAAGTACTAAAGTGTTTCCTTCTGCTGTTAATTTATTGCAGCTCATGTTTTTTTTTTAAGAGTAGATTTAGAATAGTTTCTTTGCTTTAAATCTGCTCTTAGGTTATTGTGTCAGTGGCATAAATTTGTTGCAGTATTATCGTTTATTGTCTATATTATCTTCAGCAATATATCACTCTTCAAAATTTGTTATTGTGATAGGCCCAGCAGTTCTATCTTATAATACTGCTGTAATGAGTAATAGCAAAAAACTCTAGGTCACTTTTCAAATATGTCTGGACTTAACTATGTACAGACTGTAGGGTACATTGTGAATGCAGTGTCATCACACAGAATTTACACCTCCTTCTAATGATCAAAATGCTAATTAAAGAGGTGTCTCCTATCACAGACTACTTCAGCGTGAATGAAATAGGGACCTGATCAACTAGAAGGGCTAACACCAATTAAAATACAATGAATAGTGTTAATCGAATTATGTTGAGGTTGTCACTGTTTTAAATGATTGGGGTGAACACATTTATTTAATTATTTGTTTATTTATTTATTCAAGAAGCAGTGAGTTGTTTTTTTTTTTTTTATTCAAATTACTCTCAGGTCCTAAACCTAATGTTACTTAATCAGTATTTAGAAGATATTTATGCTATAAGTCTATATAAGTGATGGAACATAAATCTAAATTCCAGGTCATAATTGATTCAAAATTGGACTACATCAGTGATTTTTCTTCTTCATTCAAGTATTTTCAGAATATCTGCATCATGTTACCATTGTCACGAATGCATGAATATGTTATGTGGAGATAGTTAAATATGTGTACTTTTATTCTAATACTGTATATAAAGAACTTGTAGGTCAGAGTAAAGGCAGGAGTCATAGTAAGTAAACATCAGCAATAGGGTGGGACCATGACACACAGAAATGCAACTGGATGTAATTTATAGATGTAAAAATAAAATTTCCTTTTTCTATTCTAAGTTTCCTATTCTATTCTAAGTTTCTATTCCTTTCTGTGAAACTTTAATAACTCATTTTATAATTCCTAATCCCTAAATATGTGGAAGGCCTTTCAGGACATAGAATGATCTACTAGATGTGCCATGTGTTTTGGTTGGACTCACCACCTGTACCTTTAACTATTGTTGTTTAATAATGCTTTAGTTAACAATAAGAATGACTAAAAGTAAATGCTGCTATTGATTAGAAGAAGTCACAGTCTTGATTTAAATCTTTAAAGCTGTTGATGTAAAATAGATTCAGAGCAACAATAAGGAGCCCAGCTGTTTATCACAATGATATGCACAAACATCTGGAGGAGCCCAGGGCCTGCACTCAGCGACGGTGTGCCCATTGTTTCTCTACTTAGAATAATGCGCCGCTGCATCATTCCATTGAATTACTGCCACCGATACCTGTCTGCTTTATGGAGTTTAGACTTTGGAGTTCTTTATTTACAGCTCAACTTTTATCCACTAATGGCTCTCTCCTCCAGGCGACACAACACTCCTTTCCACTTCTGTGCTGATGTGATTTTTCTGCTCATGTTGTTTGCGTAGGGACTTTGACAATCAGTTAAGGTGAGTTATAAAAAACCTGTACCTTCAAACTTCTGCAAGGCTATTCTTAGTCACTTCTATCCATTACTAAGAGTCTTGTGACCTTTCCTTTGATCTGCCCCATAACACAACAGTGAGAGCTAGAAAAGCCTCAAGAACACTGTTAATATTTCTTTGAAGATAATTGGAGAGGAGCTTGAGTTCTTTTAAGGAACCGTTATGGCCAAGAAAGTTCTAAATCAAATGCATCCCGATTTCAAACAACCACTTTCCATCATCATTACCTTTCAACATGTCATCTGTATGTAGATAGCATGGCCGAAAGCTGCATATAAAAATGGAATATAACCACAAAAACATCCACTTCAAAGCTATTCCCAGGAGATGGGCTTCTAAAAATATTTAGAATGTCTTAGAAATTCCCATCTAGACACATCACGATGATCAGATATCATCTTGACGTTATCAAACATATAATACATCTACTATGTGTAAATGTAAAGGCTAGTGTCTGTCACCAAATGTCAATTTAGTTTACTGTTTGAGGCCAAATTTAATGACATCCAAAATAACATTTACTTTGGAATTGTTTTATCGCTGTCCTCATTTTTCATCGCTTTGAAACACACAGATACTGGCACAACACCACACATTATCTCATTTGTTGCTTGTGTATGATACTATGGATTAGGTAAAGAGCTCAATGATAAGATTATGATGACAATGCAGTCCCAGATGATATTCAAATCGCACTGACCAAAAACCCTCTGCATTTCTTGTGAAAATGTCACATTTCAGACAAAGAGTTCTCATCTGGGCAAGAAATGTTGAGCTAAACATCAGGTGACATTTCTGTCTCTTTTTACGGCAGAGCGGATCCTCGGCTTTTTGAAGTGAAATCTTTCAAATGTGGAGAAAATCACTTTAGAGAAACAAGCGCAAAGCTCCTCATAGAGAGGAGAGGGACAGCAGCAGCAGGCACAGCAGAAGAAGAGTGAATGGAACAGGCAGAAGAGTGAGGGACTTACAGGAGTAGATGGAGGGAATGACAGAGTCTGAGGAAGAGGAGGAAACGCAGAAAAAGAGAGACATATGGGCCTGAATAAATTCATACTAATGAAGCCTGACTGATGCAGTGCTTCCAAGCTGCACCTCATCTAATCGGCTCATGGGAAAGACTCGCACATGGACGGAGTGCAGAGAGAGGAGGGCAGCACAGGAAAACTAGAGCTGGAATCCCCTCTTGTCTGGCGGCCCAGATTATCTCTGGAAGAGAGGCAAGCTGGGAGCCAGAGCCACAGTTGTGTTCAATGTGTGCCATGGCCAAGGTTAGAGTGGCCAGTCCTGTGATTGGATTGGACCACATTAGCGGTCAGTGTGGGACAAGGGTGGCCAGGAGTGCTTCTTCTGAAAACATATGTGTTCTCAACTTGTCTGGGCACCTCTCCTTCTCAGTGTGCTACAGCACTGGCGCACACATTCACCAGGACTTCAGTCAAACCACCGCAGGCTACAGCGCCCCCTGTGTCCTCTGTGATTGGCTGTTAGAGACACATCAAACGCCCCGAGTTCAGACACTTAGCACATTTGTCTGCTAATAGTCCCTGGCCACACATGAGGGAGACACAACATGGCACAGAAATATATTTCTGCTCCAAAAAACTGGGTCCATACTAGCTAGCTATCCATACCAGGCCAAAATGGATTCATAGCACATTGCTTTATACTAATATATGTATATTATTAGCTAACCTAAATGATTAACAAATGTATTTTTAGGTAACTATTTCACATCGCAATATATACATTTATATATATGTGTATATATATATATATATATATATATATATATATATATATATATATATATATATATATATATATATATATATATATATATATATATATATATATATATATATATATATATATATATATATATATATATATATATATATATATATATATATATATATATATATATAATATTTGCAGAAATATATGTTTATTTCTGCAAATTTCCTTTGAAGCCTTTTTGGGTCAATTTCATACAGATTTTCATCCAAACAAAACACCTACACAGTAGGAAGCCGCTAAATCTCCTCTTCTTCAGAATGACAGAGCACAATAGAAGAGAGTGTTCTGCATGAAGCACAGTCTTCACCTGTTTTAATCCTCTGCCACAATACTGTGCTGCAGTCTCCTATTTTAAAGACAATTTTAGGCCCATTTTAGATGTGAGACGAAGGTGGTTTTAAAGTGCCTCCAGCCAGCGGGTGCTTGAGGCACTAGCACTCCCTCTGCAAAAGCAAAGCCAACTGCAGCCACAGTCCACTATACCAGACTGAAACCATCAAAATTACAAACTTTGTGCAATGTGTCAGATCTAAACGAGTCATGATAGCCATTTTCCCTTCAGAAGCATGAGGTTAGAGGCCTGTGGGTAAACTTGAAGTGTATGCTGAGAGTCTTTTGAAGAGGTAAGTGAGCTCTTGGTTGTATCATACCTTATGGACTTTCCCCTCGTACACTTGCTCCTGGTGCATGCTACATAGTGGGGAGCATCTTTTGATGCTTTGCCAAAGTGCTTTGATATCTCTTTGCCCTGAGCTGTTCCTTTGATCCCAACATCACTGCTGACTCACTGGTGTTCAACAAACTCCACAGAGGTGTGACCTTCTCCCTGAACGAGACAACTGTCACAAATGAATCAAGATATTATTGAACACACCACAATTATCATTTAACACCTCTTTGTTTCGGCTATAATTACAATTTGATTGTCTCATTTCAAGAATGTAGTGTTGAAGATCTTTACAAAATTACATATCAGTTCAATATAAAAAACTATGTTCTTTGATAGCACACATGACTAATGATGACTAGAATTGTATTTGAAAATAGTACTTTGATTGGATACAGGGCTTTGGTGACTGTATTTCTATTTTAGTTCTATTTTTATAAATGTTCAGAGTTGACTAGATGTCAGCAAACGTACAGGTTTTATCAAAGAACTACTGACCTAGAAACTCAGAACCAAATGAGCTGTTACAGGAGGACAGTAAAGTGACAATGTTTTGAATGAAACAAAAGTTATCTGAGATTTCTGCCGCTGTAAAAATATCCAGCTTGAACTTGACATTTGTCATATTCTGTACCCTCATATAACCCCTAAAGACCAGGTTTGTCGCTTGATAGAAGTTTCATTAACTCTGAGTAGACCAATCTTGCTCAGTACCAGCAGTCTTAATTGGATAAAAAACTATAATACAATTACTACTGACTACTGAGTCTGGGATGGCATTAGCTGTCATATACTGAGCACCTTATTGGGCTGCAATTGTTTAATTAATAATGTAATTGTGAATAAATCAATGTGATAATTGTTATCATAACCAATGCTTGACTGGAACCTGGTCCTAGCAGAGGACAGAGACAAGTAACATTTATAATATAACCTACATACCTTGAAAATGTGCAAAAAGTCTGTGCATTACTTGACATTTGAAATGATGGACACTACCCATAAAAGTTGGCACATGCTTAATCTTAATTCTGTCAGGAAACAAAGAGAAATTGAGCTTGAAAATACCACGCCAAGCTCCTGACAAAAGATGAAGGACTTAGGGGGAGTAGATAAAACCAACACAATAAATAAACAGTGACGGGACAGGAGGAGCCGAAACAGCCGCGGGGCCACAGTGTGCAGCTAATAAAGCGGAATGGGCTGGCTGCACTCACATTGTTGCTGTGCTCCGGCAGGTGGTTGTTGCTCAGCACCTCATCCTCCTGAACCAGCGGGGAGGGCCGGGGGGCAGGAGGGGGGGTGAAGTCCGCAGGCAGGGACCCAGGGTCGCCCATCCAGCTGATAGAGTTACCTGTGAATGCACACAGAAACACCTGATGTATAATTTGACAATAATTTATTTTGATGGGCAAAATATTAAATAATGAACAAAATTTGGCAATCAAATGGCATACAAAATAAAGAATTGTATTTGTTTGACCTTTATTTAACAAGGATAGTCTGGCTGAGATTAGGAATCTCTAGATCTTTAGACTGAGTCCTGTTAACCTTGAGCACCAAGACGGGTTTTCGTGATATTTGTGAGTTCACAAACTCATCAGAATCCATTTTAAAGTGCTCCCACAGTGGTCGGCCCAATCACGGGGTTATTTTGGCAGGCAACATGACAACCTCAAGCGGTAGGCCTACATGGAGCAAAACAAACATGGTTGTGCCAGTGGACAGTGATGGTGGCTTATAATGCCCTTAATGAGCAAATCTGTATTACAAAAACAGCAAAAATCGTTTAGCATGACACTTGTTTTGGTTTTACCTAGTGCAAGTTGGATACGTCATTTTGGCTGGTTTGCTGTGACTGGCTAAAAAGAAACTAGTGCGTGGTTCACTCAATCAACTTGAGGCATTCTGCTGCAAGTCCGTCCTTTTTCTAAACATTTTGAGTGAGAGCGGTTCCAGATGGATAATGCGTAGAACTGCACGATACACATATCAATCTATTGTGAGCCAGGTTAGAGTCCTTGCCCCACAGGGGACCCTATTGCACATGTTTTTAGTGGTGGCACAAACTGGAGCACCTGGAGGAAACCTACGCAGGCACAGGGAGAACATGCAAGCTCCAAATTAGAAAAGCCCCACATGGCCCCAGAGAAGAAGTGAAAATATAAATAAAAAAATAATAAATTCACCTATATACAAATGTTCAAATCATTTAATTTTGTCAACTTAAAGCTAGACATTACTCAAGTAGGAGTACTATTATATAATCCTCAATACAAGTAAAAATATGGTGCTAGAAAGTTCCTGAAGTACAAATGTATGAAAAAATAAATGTACTTGAGTAAACAAAAGTATGACCCACCTCTGTTAACAACAAGATTAATATTACAAATTCAAGCCATTTGAGCTAAAGTAAATGATAGCTATTCTTTCTTGTTGTGTATGGGTGGGTCTCCAGTGGGCGTCAACCAACATATCTACTTGGCAGCTTTATTGTCACACCTGTCGCCTGCTTGATAAATCACTGGGTTTTATGGGGCAAACATCAACGCATTGGCCAGGGCTTTAGTGTCTGGACATACTGACTTGTTGTGTATTGACACGAGTATTGACAGCTGTGGTGATTGAGTGATGCCTAGAGGCCCTCACTTGCAGGTTTCATGGTGTTCCTCACCATGAACATGTAGCTACAGGAGTTCCATGAAGTCTAAGGCTCTGAATGTAGTTGGCATGTAAAGAGGAAATGACTTCCCATTGAGAACAGCAGGGACCACCAGCTCAGACACACTCCTCACGTCTCAGCCACTTTCTCATTTATGCCTCTTCAGTGGCTCCACGTGGCTTCTTTGATGGGGGCATTCTGATAATTGCTACATTTTAGATGCATTATTTAAAACAAGTGCAGTATTATGGGTACGGGTGTTGAGCTGGAAAATGGTCTTATTGTGATTGCACATGGACACGATATGCTATTGCTGATTTCTTATTCATTGTTGTAACATAGATAGCCTTATTATCACGTTTTGACCCAACTGGGCTATATAAAAATATATTTTTTTGCTTTATCAAACTATTGTCAATAAACTGACATTGTACTTACATTTTATTCCAGCAATTAATTAATTTTTAAGTATTAATCATAAGCCATTGTCAGAAGATGATACTACAGAGTGCCTCAGATCTCTTTTTGACAAATTGTTTTGGTGTTACTCACACTACAAAAATTTAGTCTATTTTGGTAATTACTTGAATAAGTGATTTATAATAAGCACCTCTTTAGACAATTTCTACACATGGCACATTTTATAAATGATAACTTAAACAAAATGCAACAAAATGGTATGGTAACATGCCATCTTAAAGGTGCACAGTGTAACTTTTTGGTTGGGGGTTCGTAACCTGCCTGTTTCCATGGATATGTCATTGCTCTGCCTGGAATGTTCTATAATATGAAATTCAACAGCTCTACCTTACTTTTATTCAATTATAGGTGGCTTTATAGCTCAAAAATACCTAGAAAAAGAGCAGGGTTGCCTCTCCACAGATCTGCCCAGTAACTTGGTCTGGTTTGATCTCCATGAAGATAGAAAGGTTAAATGCCATACTGTGAAACATTCAAGACAAAGGAATAAGATTTCCATGGAGAAAAGGTTACACAGTGCACCTTTAATAACTAGAATAAGATCGAAACTTTATTATCGAGATACAGAATACAAATACTTCTATTTCTTCTATTGGTCAAATCTCAAGTTATTTAACTTCATGTAGATAACTAGACTAAATGACAAAATCAACACATTGAATGGAAAATTCTAGCCACTTAATGAGATGCTAAATGAGCGGCAAATACTCACGCAGACAGGTGTTGTGAGTAAACATGTGCTGCAGCCTCAGACAGTCCTGCCACTGGTTCCCACTCCCCTCACAGTTGCACCACAGGGACACATCCGCAGAGCTATTACTGATGTAGTTTGGAGTCATGATTGTTCCTATGGTCAAAGAGACAGGCTTGTTAAAAATACACAATAATGTCCACACACAAGATGAACACGGTGAGGATTTCAGTAAGGATTTCCTTCTAATTCCTGTTAAGAACAATTATGTGTTTTTGATGGTTGCTTTTTGTTTATGTATTTATTTTTTTGCCAACAAGCTGTAATAAATATAGACAAAATTACATAAGACTGTTGAAGAAAGCAATATTTTTACTAACAAAAAATAGTTTATGATACAGGCAATTATGAAAAGTTAATATGGTTATTAAAAGGAAATATATGATCAAACTGTGGATGTCTGAACATTAAAACTTCATAAAAACTGAAGGACAGCTGTCACCCATTCAGAACTTGGAGGGCCATGACTCATTGCCCGCCACCAGTGCCTCTAAATCTAATGTTGTACAGCTGCTTGAAACACATAATTGCTGATCATATAGAATCCTGGGTGTACATGAACACTAAAGCTTGTGTCTTAAGAAAGATATGAGCCCCATAGAGAAGTCATCCATCACTGTCACTGAAAGCACTCAACTCTTCAGTCTTCTCTACTTGCTTTTAGATTCTACTGCACCTGCGTTACCCATTTGTGTCACAGCATAACACCTTAATGGTTAGCAGTGGTTAGAATGTCATGAGACATCTCAAAGACATCTCACCCAACATGTAAGAATGTGTGCATGTGTGTGAATGTTTGTTAATGTAATTATTGGTTTGTGTGTTTTGTGTGCAACTTTTCTGGTGGTTTGTCCGCCCACCTGCTTGTCTACGTATAAAGTTCCACAGGCATTAAACTTAAACTCCATGGATCCCTATCCAGAAATATTACATAGTGCACCATTGAACACCTTTGTATTGGCATTTTATAGTTCATTACTTTGTAAAATGTTGTGTATAAAAAAGGCACTTTCTAAGCAACATGCAGGGTCCCTTTGTGTGTGTCCATACCAATGAGTCCAGCATAGGCCCGCAGACACAGGCCTGGGGAATCCTTCAGGCAGCCGCTGGCCGTCATAGAGGAGGGCTGGCAGTTTTGGAGGAAATCAGCCAGTCTGGACCTGGCAACCACACAGACAACTCACATCAAACAGCAGACATGGGCAGAGAAGGTAAGGGGAGGTGTATCTAGTGGGCAGTCAGGCTGAAGCGAGATGTTCATCAAAGTGGGTCCAAAGAGTTTTTACAAAGTGCAGCTGACACCATTTCGGGCTTGTATATTTAACTTTGTTCTGTCCTTTTATCTTCGAGATCTTTCTTTTGATTCTCTTTCCCACTCAGTTAAAAGCTGCTGTTTGAGTGTGAATGCCAGTGTGACGTCTGATTTCAAGTGCTAGTTTCATAACATATTTAACTTTGTTTGGAAATTTAATTGTAGCACTTCAGACTACTAAAATGTATTAAAAATATTTTTAATAATATTTTGCTAAACATCTAGCCTAGTTCTAGGCAATATCTTGCCAATAATAATGTATTACTGTAGATGAGTTACCTGCAGAGATCGTCCCGGCGGCAGAAACTCTGTTGGTGCAGACAGTTAGGCTGTAGTCCGTCCATTTCCTGGTACGAACAGGAGGGCACTATGGTCTTCCTCCTTCTCTCTCCACACAGAGTATTGGTGCAGGGGCAGAAGAGCACCCCCAGGCTATATTCCTCAGGGACCCTCTCCAGGAAGCGGCGCAGGGCCCGGTGGCACTTGTGCTGATTACAGCGGCTGGTGCCGGGTATCCGTTTGGTGCAAGCCAGGACGTACTCTGAACGCAGGGACCCACACTTCTCATATAGGCCACAGTCCTGTGCAGCTTTCAAGCACTGGTTCTCTCCATCCAGTTGCATATATGATGATGCTGACAGTCCAATAGATAGGAAAAGTGAGGTAAAAACGTTTCATTATGTTTTGCAGTTAAACTGAGCAGGAGAAGAAAGTAATGATATATTTTATGTGGGGATAGTGATTCAATGGGTGTAAAAGTAATTAACCTTCCAGTTCACTGCCATTTAGTATCAGATAATCAGTTAAATGTCAGACAAGGGGAACTTTGAGGCTCTATTGATTGCACTTTTACGTCTTCCCAAAAGAGGCTTTTGGTAATATTTTGTGAAGAGATAATGACTGAAAATTACTCAGGTGATTATTTGCAAGCGACAGTCAATCATTACCAATAACAAGAGGCATTTGTTCCAAGTCTATTGGGAAAAATGACTTAAGTAACACCAACATGGGTGAGCAAATTTGTTCACAGACAGTACAGACTTATAGAACCTATTTTCCTTTTGAAATATATATGTATTCAGAAAAATTATTTTTTATGTTTGTTTGTTTTGATTTATTCATCTACACCTGAACATTATCTGGATAGCATGTAGTGTTCTTATGATGAGAAATGGATAAAGTTGCATTTTCTTTTCATTGAGCACTCAATACAAATGTAATTGATCTCCTTCATTGATTTTTTGTCTGCGGTTTAGTGATTCATTGAGCAACATCTCTATTGTGTTTGACATAATGACAGCTCAGACATATACGTAGATGGAGCACTTGTCATGGAGCAAATGTCCATGTGTGACGCTGATGAACACACACTGAAAAGCATGTGTATCTCTGTGTGCAGTACCTGCCACTAAAGACGCCATCCGACTGTCCATCTGTGTGTCATCATAAGGGGACAGCTCCAACTCATCCTCATCTAGACACAGGGCAAAAATATTAAATTAAGTTTACAAAAACATATATTTGATTGTTTTCATTTTATTTATGTTTTTACTTTCATTTGACAATACAGAAATGGTCAAAAAAGGTGTGTTACCTTCAGAAGTGTGGCAATTTGTAAAACTCAAAGATGGTTTATCAAACAGATACAAACATATTTATATCTCAACATTGATTGTTGTTTGCCTAATTTGAAAAAAGTAAATATGGACCCTAAAAGACCAGTAATAGTAATATTATATATTCCTTTGAATTGTATGTGAAGAGAATATGAAGTTACATTTAGGCTTAGGCTTACTACCACGTAAAATGACAGTGAATTGATACACCAAACCTAGAGGTCTTGACCTGCAGACTAGATATGTCCAATAAATTATTTAAACACACTCCAAAGTACAAAGTCAACCAACAATGTAATGGCATGTAAGTGTTTATGTATGTAAATCCTATTCTGGACTATATATTTATGGTAATGACACGCAAGAGCAGCCTAGCAGCATTAGGAGCTGAAGAGTGTGTAATTACACTAATGCTCCACTGACTAATGGGCCACAGGGGAGGAGGAGTCTGCTGGCTACTGTTAGCTCTGTACCAGCACGCCCAGTGTCTACAGGACAGGCTGTGTGAGCTGTCTGTACTCCGGGCCAGTCTCATCTTTTATACCATTCAGACATAAATAAGTCAACACATAAGAAAACAATGCCTGGGGAAACATAAAGGTTGTGTGTAATTAACTTTAAATGAATTCAGTAAATGAAAGTGTCTTGGTCAAATACAACAGAGCTTTTGAAACTGGAGGAAGAAAATAGAGGTAGGGACTTAAAAAGGAACATAGAATAGCAGTGTCCAAACTTCACATACGGAAACTTATATGGAGAGAGGGGCCATGAACTACAAAACAACACACATTTAAAGTGGACCTATTATGCAAAAGTGACTTTTTAACAATTTTATAGTTCTCATTTACCTTCTCAAAATTGTATTTAGCAACATCATTTCTCCGATCAACCCATTTTCACCACCACTGGCATACGCTCACTGCTCTGTACTCAAATCGTTCAACAATTTTATTTTCTTAAATCAGTAATATGTGTAGGATATGACAGCATCACATAGCCATTTCTGTACAAATGAAAAAAAGCTACTTGCTAGTGTGATCCACAGCTAACCATCAGAGGTGCCAACAACTGCACGGGTTTTTACGTTTATGCCGAAGACAGCTCCCATTGGGCATTGCTGTTCATTTTAAGTACATAATGATCCATGGATGTGGATTATAACTGTATAGCAGACACAAGCACAGTATGTCTTCTTTAATAACGCTTGGACCATTTCTGTTGTAAGTTAAGATAGCACTACATTTTTTTTTTTTCACAGTGCAGTAAAGCATTGAAGTCCTACACAAGTAATGGTGGTCTATTCATGTAAATTACCAGAGAAATTAGCTCAATGCTTGCATGAATGTGTGTTTATGTGACTGACTTGGGAGCAGCCGGACTGTCCAGTAGACCCGCAGACACTGTTCCTCTTTTCGAAAGCCGCGTTGGCACTTGCAGACGAGCAGAGCTGGGTGTTTGCTAAGTAGAGTGTCCTGGCGCTCCAGACACTCAGAGGCCACCTGTTCCCCCAAAGGAGCCACCGCCGCATCGGCCGCACACAGCTCCAGACCCCGGTACAAGGCCTCACACTGGGGGTCCGCCGAGCACACACGCTGGGCCTCGACACAGTCAGCCGGGGCGGGAGGGAAGGGGAAGGCTGGAGGTGAGGCCAGAGAGGCACCTGAGAGAGGCAGAAACAACATCAAGTATGATAAGATGACTGCAGACGTAGAAGAAGTAACAGAGTACATTTTAGAACTCAAGGTTTTGAGTTCACAAAAGCTACCAAACTTCAACATTTAGTAATTAGAGAGTATAATAGAAAATGTAAAAAGGATTTATTAAGATTTTGCAACAAACCAAGAGCAGAATGAGAAGGTTAACATAAGCCACAAAAAGTCAGTGAACAGGGCTGTGCAACTGATCACATTTTTTATCAAGAGTGGGGCTTTTTAATTAAGAGATCTACAACCAATCCTCTGTAAGTAAAAGCATGTTGGAGCAGATTTCAAACTCTGGAAGAATAAACCGGACTATGTTTATGTTAAATGAGTGAAGTCCTTCAAGTTAATTTGTATTTGTTTTTATTGAGCCTTTAGCTTCCATAATACCAGTTTGTACAGACATATTGTGGATTAGACTTTGTGACGACTGCAGACAATGCTTCAACGCCAAGACACAGAGCCAGGCTGGATAAAGTTCTTCACTGAGCTTATTTTCATTTACTTTACGTGTTATTCAAAGTTTGTCTGAAAAGAACTGTTGTTTTCGGAAGTGCAGCTTCTTCGATTTGCAATAGGGAGAGAGGCACTCCCCTGGTAAAATCCAATAGCTGAAGTGCACCCAAGTTGTCTGAGGACAGCAGAAATGTCATACGGGGAGGAGAAATAGGGGAACGGAAACATAGATGGAAAAGGGGAGAGGTGGAGAGACAGAGAGCGAGCGCTTCAATGTGAGCTGTGATGGGTTGGACACGCGCACAGTATGAGGTACAATCAGCATGCATCGCCCAAAATGATGTTCTTAGAATCACACAAAGATGTTTCATACACACACACACAGACAGCGCTCAGGGCCGGCCGGAGAAGGACCCTTTTATGTGTGTGTCCTGCTGCGAGGAAGACTGGGAGCACAGAACCCATCATTATTACCACAACACAATACTGCACCACCACAGGGGAGGGGGCGCAGGGGCAAAGCAATCTGTCCAAGACGCACACACTCTTGTACACACACATGGCGGTGTCGGAATAAAGTGGCTGAGAGAGCATAAACAGCTTAACATTCAGTGCCGGATCAGTAGACAGTATGTAAATTGAATACTGAGTGTGTTGATGAAAGACTAACCACATACATAAAACATTGTTAGCTGAACAAACAGGCTTTGTGGGGTGCCACATCCCAAACATCGAGCCACCACTTACTTTGTCCACAGTAAGTTCTGACCCTAGTGGTTTGATTCTGTCCACTACGACAAACCACACATGTATGCGCTATTTGCACTTCATAAAATACTCCTAAACTAATTTCTCTGGTGTAAAATGTAGTCAATACTTTACCAGATGCTGCTTGTCAGTGCATTTCTTACAAAGCTAAATTTCACATGTGTAAGATGTGCCAAAAAGAGTGGAGTCACTGAGGAGTGCTAGGCGTTCTATTACCACATCAAAAAGTCTGTGATGTTAGCTAACCTTTCCTGACAGGCTGCTTCAACAAACAAGACATGAAAGACTCCACTGTCACAGACACAACAGCAGCACTCCAATAACAAACTAAACACCAATTTACATATTTTTATGTGTGTGAACACATATCTCCACATTACACATGTTGAATGGGAATAGATATTTGGTTTAAATAATAACAACATTTACATGTCACAAGTTATTAAAGTCTTTGACATCTAATCTAAACATAGAAAAATATTTGGCAAATGCTTTCTAAATCTAGCTAGAAAAAGTTGAACTGGAACTGAAAAGGACCCAAACTACTAAAATACGTTTGTACATACTGTTATGCTTGTCATTTACAGACATAATCATTGGCTATTAATGGTCTATAAAGAAAAAAAAACAATATCTAAATACATGTATGTACATCACAGAAGCAGAATAATCACACATTGTGCCCCTACTCCTTTTCTTTCCTTTCAACAGCTCTAGACAAAGGTCTCCTGGACATGAATGAGGCTGTCCTTGTTTGACAGCTCGCGCTTGTATTTGGAGGGTGCTTTAAGTCAAAGTCCAAAGACCTTTCTAACAGAGGTGTTCCCACAGGAAGTCTCAGCTTCACTGTGTAGGCTGCCAAGAAAAAGGCAACAACTGACTACAAACACAGTCAGTGAAAGAAGTAAACAGCAAAGCTAAACCCAGGTTTGGCAGTTGGCCCTTTTCCTTAAAAACAAGATTGTCACTAATTTATTTCCCCTGAAGGAGAACAACACGTTGGGCTTGATAAACGCATGTACATTTGGTTCTATTTGATATAATTCTCTAAACTTTTTTCATCATCAAGTCGAGCAGAAGGGTGATAAAAGTTTGGTGCCACACTGTGTCTGGAGGCAGCAGACAGGCTCTCCATCAGCACTGGTGGAGTTTATCATTGTTTTTCTGTTTAAAACAATAAATATCCAATCCACCATCTGCCGCACATCACCACACAGACTGCAGCGCTGTGCTGGCACAAGTCAGCCATTTGAACAGCATTCACTTTCCGGCCAAATGTTCCAACTTTAATGTGGAATGCTAAGTTTTGTTTTGCGAATATGTGTGTACCTTGGAGGGCTTTTGGAGATATACATGATGAATTTCTCTCAAACAGTAATAAGGTAATTGTGGGGTGACTGCACATTCAAAAAGGTAAGAAAATCTATAGTCAGGGCTGCGCTATCGAAACAGTTTTACCTTGGCCAGGTCATTACTCTTTACTCTTTGGAATATTTCAAATCCAGACATGTATAAAGGTCACAGTACTATCTGCCCAAAACATATTATCGCAGTAGAGTCTAGAGTTTAGGCTGACTATATAAGACTATTGTAAAAAAAAAACAAAAAAAAAACAACAACGCTATGCCTTGGTAATGATATCCACTTCTGAAATAAGCACTAATAACTACTTGTTGTATGTAGAATGTTTTGCTGATCACTTATTTAAAGCCCAACAAAGTCTAGATTATCAAATAACTCTTTCACTGCTGTTTCTTATGTCTTGCACTGTGTGTTATTGCACTATTTAGTATATTCACTTTCATGTAGCACTGTGTTTAGAGATGTGCAAAAACATATGGAGAAAAGAAACCATTTTGTACTAACAAATGATAAAAGCTCAGTGCCAACAGCATACAGCTATTGTTGGGGAAGCACAAACGCCCTAAGCAAAGCATTTGACATGGCTACTTCCAGTTCCAGGATTTCCTTTCAAAACGCTTCAGTCACTGTGCGCTTATCAAAACCTTTTCTGATAACAGCTCTGAGGAGAGCATCCTCTGGCTTTAGCATCAGAATTCTACATGCGGACTACTCTGCGGGTTATGAGGTGAAAGTTAAAAACACAAAATGCTAGAAGGTCTTCTAAGATTGGTTTGGGCACATCGTAAGACCACTGGCCACAACCCAAACAGCACTTCAATACGTTAGCAGTATTTAGAAGATAATAAATAAATAAGAGGCAAATTACATCCAAATGTCTGCTAATGATTTATGCTAAAGGCTAAAAGCTAAACATAGTGATGATGGAGATAAACATGAAGCGTGACAGTTTGGACCGTTTCCAGGGGCACAAGACAAGGAAGCTGTGGATGAGCTAATAACACTAAGAGCTAATGATCCTGATGTGTTGTGAGCCAAGTTAATGACCAAGAGAGGCGCGCGCTGAACCCAGGTCCCCATACCAATTACTAACTTTAGTGTAATTGCTGCAGTTGTCCCAAAGAGGCATTCTCCAGGGCTGGAAAAACATTCAAGTGTTAAGAACCAACTCTCCAGTGGCCAAATGTAAATGAATACTAGAATCGTAATGCTAAATGTTTTATTCTCTGGGGGATAAAAAGTTAAAATCTTCCATTTAGAGTGTTGTTTCTTCATAACTAATATTACAAATAAGAACATGTGCCTTGAAGCAGCTTGATAATAGTCAGTTGTAAGCGAAGTTGTCCTATTTGTCTTGCAAAGCTGAATTTGGCCAATCAGAAAGGGCATCTGGCACATAAAGATCTGTGCATTAAAACAGCAACTAAAATGAACTGGTGTAATCAACAACTAAGCAAGCCAGTACATGGGATAATCTGTCATGCAAACAGGAGACCTCTTATACACAAGCACACATGAGAAAAAATGTTTCGTATAAAAATTATGAAAAAATAATTTATTAAATCCACTTCACAAAGAGTTGTCTTGACTGAACCATTTATTTGATTTATTAGTTGTAAAAAGAAAACTTCCTGTGGCCTTTGCGCATGCTCTGGGCTACAGTGGCAAAGACAGGACAGAGGACAGAGGACTACAGATCCAAAGACAAGGAAGAGACACAGAAACAATGCATTACATGTGCAGTCCCATTATACATCATCATTGACGTGTGTGTTAAATTCCAGATGCCCTTCCTGATCAATTTAGTTTTTTGCATATCTTCATAATTTGTGTGTACAGTTCTGAACATAGAACATAAATGTTTAATGTTTTTGTAATGTTTCATGCTTTTTTTTTCTTCTTAAATACATTATAAACCTCTGCTATTTACAGTTGTTGGCATTCCTTTTACACCAGGTGCCCTTTCTGACATATGACTTTCTGTTGAGCTTTGGACCAACCACATGAGAACTACAGCCACTATTATTTTTGTATAATAGTGGCTGAAAATGCTACAAGGAGTAAACTCGCTGTCTCTAGTGGCCATTTTAAATTAACAGTTTATCAAGATTTAAGTGGTCTGCAGTTGTGTCACGCTCAGACATCTCATTTTGTTGTGACCTCAAACAACTGAGTAACATGAATATAATTAAACAGAGCGAATGCTATGATTGACAGCTGACTGCAAGTAAGGCAGCTTACAGCTCCAGGTATCAACATGATGATTCTGGCTTCACTAAAGAAGATATCTGTGTCATCAATGGATAGATTACACACCTGTGCAATGAAAATAAAAAATAAAATAAAAACATACAAAACCACACACACACACAGGATTAGAACATAGCAGCAGTCAATTTAATTAACACGCTCTATCTGTTTTTGAACCAATATATTGCTACAAG